ACGGTTTATCGAAGCTATTCGAGATAGCATGTCGGCTACGGAGTTATTTTCTCCAGAAATGTGGTGGATATCTGACGTGAACAGGGGAAATGGAGTCCAGTTGTCGTGACTCATGTGGGGGAGTATCTGTCTGGCGCCGGGCTAAGAGAGAAAGGCTGACGGTTTGTGGTCTGTGAAAATGATTAGGTCGCGAGCTTCTACCGAATATCGAAAATGGAGTATGGAACAGTACATAGCTAGGAGTTCTCTACCAAACGTACCGCATCTTGTTTCCACCTCTTGCAGCCGCCTAGGGAAAAAGGCTAAAGGTTGTCACTGGTTCTCAGCCAACTGTTCCAAAACTGCTCGAACTGCTGATTGAGATGCATCAACAGCAATACTCAAAAGAGCATTGGGGTCTTGATGCATAAGCATGGTTGCAGTTGAAATGGCTTCCTTGACTTCAGAGAAAGTAAGTCTAGCCACTTAGTCCAGAGTCACGAACTTCGTAGTCCCTCGAAGTAGACTTGGACCACCTTGACCAAATCAATTTTGGAGAGTATGTTCATTCTACGTAACGTCGCGGTCGTCGTAAATATGAGGTGTCCGGTGGTAGTCCGGTGTTGTTTTGGCGTTAGGCCTTCGGTAATCGCCAGCTGAACGCGTCGTTGCTATTCTTTTTGGGAACCATGTGCAATGGTGATGCCCAGGGACTACTTGAAGCTGTGATAATGCCCAGTTCAAGCATGTGGTCGAATTCGCTTCTCGCCGTTTTGAGCTTGTCAGGGGCTAGGTGGCGTGCTTTGGATACCACAGGTGAACTTGTGGTTGTAGAGTGACGCATACTATTGCTGGTTATGTACTGGAGAGTATGCGTCGGTTGTTGTAACTTTGGATGGTTCTCCAACACTGTCTGGTAGTATGAATCACCTGAGTGTTTAGTTGTAACTATGGCTAAACTTGGATCTACGTAGGTGGCGCCGCCAGTAGATAACTTTGTGTTGCTATCTGTCAGTCCTGGACAACGACCATCCAAGAGTAGATCGTGATGGTTCAGCAAATCTGTGCCAGTGGTGGGCACTGAAACATCTGCTGGGCAGAAAATACAGTGAATAGGTTTATGTAAACCTAAGTCAGGGCAGGTAGACAATCTCCCAAATGTTACAATCACCTTGCAGTTGGCTGTTTGAAGATTGAAGGACAGGTCATGATAACGCTCACTTGCCGGTGTGGAAAGAATGTTGGCTTCTGCACCGGCGTCGGTGAGGCATCGAGCTTTCGTTTTTACGCCAGTGACGTAAAGTAAACGGCCTTTTCTTCCGGCTACGGTTGCCGCTTAACGCATGTCGGCGGGACAGTTTTGCAAGTTTGTGCCCATGTTGAAACTTCATGGCTTCCAGTATTTTCTAGCTTCGTCTCCATAGGTATCCTGAACCCAGCACCATTTAGGGTTTTCCACCCTGTTATGTTTAGCTTTTGAACAACCACACTAGTTGCTGCGATGCGTTTCTGTGACATGCTACGTAACCTAGAGCATCGGGTTCGTAGTAAGTGTTTAACGGAGTTGCACAGCTTGTTTACTTCCGAATCCCTGCAGTCAGTTTTCCCGTAGATCGAATATACTTTGGAGATGGGTCCGCCAGAGATTTCCAGCATTTTACCTGCTGAGGCTACCAGGTCATCGAGTAGAACGGAATGAAGTGTCACTAATACGGTTTTCACCGGTTGTAGCAGTTGTGAGAGAAAGAGTTCTCGAAAAAGCCCACTATCGAGCTTTCGCGACCCCATAACTTCTCGCATGCTTGCGAGGATTTCAGTAACTGAGTTGCTGCATAGCTTGATATTACGAAGCAATTCGTCTATGCGCTAGCGATCTATGAGATCACTTTTTTTTTAAGTCTAACTTTGAGGGGTGCATAAGGATAACTTGCTTCAGGACTAAACATATGCGCTGTAACGTGCTTGATTAATTCTCAGGTAGTGAACGTATGACAGCAAGAAATGGACTCCTTGTCTTCGAAAATCTGCCCCGGCATACAAAAACCATGTTTTGGCATGGTCTAGCCAGTGTGGCACAAGCTGGATAGTATTCGTCGTTGGCTTAATACGGATAAGCTTCTAAGTATAGTCGGACATGGAAAGAAGCCATACGTAGATGTATAAAGGTCATCAAAATGAAAACGATATACAGACAAAAAAACGGAACGGGCTCACCAACTAAGGAATTGTCCTGGTGCAAACTTAACAGACACAGAGGCCAATCATTAATTATTCGTACTTGTTATATACCCACGAACACAAGACCAAGACAGAACACGATAGCGTAGTCAGATGGAATAGTGTATTTGCTAGGTCTTACCAAGATATCGATACTTTGCAACTAACTGGCCAGAGGGTCGAGTACGAGTATTTCCACGCAACGCGACAGCGTGCACATGAACATGCCAGAGCTAGCAGCCTGAAAGTCACCTTGACTAATCTTCAACGATCACGTCAAAAGCTATAAGGCTGGAGGATGATCACGCTAAAATTGGAAAGAAACTTGTATTCTTTTGTCAACTTTTTCTTAGATCGAAGTGAATTCCAGGAATCCCCTCAATCACAAAATATGAAACGATAGCTACAAATACCAGGTGAACTAAACTAAAGTCCTGTCGGGTAACTATCAAGGCTTCTAACAGGTTACGGATCTGCGTATGCCTGTAGTGCATCTTCTCGGCACCAAAATACTGTCAACTTTAAAATAAATAGATAAACATTCACTTTCCAAAAGAAAAGGTGTCTGCATTATCAGCTGACTCATTCAAAAATGGATTGGCAACCACAGAAATTTTCTGGAAAAGGCTTAATATAGGCTAACAGTCTTCTATCCTGAGACAAAAAATCTGAACCTTTGACCAAGCTCATCCAAATATGAACTCTACAACAGAATACGAAAATGAGGACAGAATCAATTTTTTGGATCTGAGTAGAGGACGGAGATGTGATAGTGCAGTTGAGAAAACTATCCATAGGAGAGACACCTAAATTGTTCAGTAACTTCACTACCACAGTTTCTGTCCTGTAAGCGTGCTTCCAACAGGACGCTCTTCACTACAATAAGAACGATAGGCTCGAAAGACAAACAGGTAGAAGAACTCAGCATCACTGAAAACTGTTATCGGGGATAGATTTCAGAAGAAATTTACCATGAAGGATGGAAAGGAATTTACTGAGAAACCTGAACACCCAACTGTTGAGAAGAAGCCTGTTTTCCCTCGTCTATCATTCAAGGATGATGAGACATCTGAAAGAATAAAGAGAAGCATAAAAGCTACAATGAGAACAGCTTTCCCACTGCCAGACTGACATCAGTTTACAACACAGTCGAAAGTGGACAAATGCCTACCTCATGTCACCTCTTACTGTGTATATCATTTCACCTGTGCTTGTGGAAGCAAGTACATAAGACGGACCGAAGGAAGTGTGTCTAGCAGATTTTATGAGCATATTCCGAGAAATCTGTATCTGAAAGGTAGCAAGGTCTTCACCAGAGCGACCACCAGACACCTGATGGAAACAGGACATCAATTAGATGTTTCTCAATCCTTCAGAATAATCAATAAACAAAGAACAGCATGTTTATTACGGTTTTGTGGAGCTCTCTCCATCAAACATTTTCAAGTTGACCAATGTACTCAAAAAGAGACTGCATTTAACCTGTTTTTACCTTAGTAAATATATATAGTTTTTTGCAGAAATATGCATATAGACTTCGTTTTTGACTGCATCATTTCTTCATATAATTACTTACTGACTGTTAATAACTTAACGACTTTCCAGTTTCTCATGTAACTGCGTAGCTTACTAGCCGTTCAACAACCCCTTGTTTTACACTCTTGTTTGTTTGTTAGACCCTTTTCCTTAGCACCAGAATTTCTATGTCATGAGACTTAAGTTCCCATCGATTTTGACTAGGATTTGTGATTATTAATCCTTTGTTTCCCCTGCTCACCTCATTGTTAATTGTGGATTTCAGATCGTTATTTATTTCTGCATATCTAAATATGTTGTGTCATTATTACTACTAATGCTTCTTTTCATTTGTAGGGTGTTTTCAACTGGTGAAAAGCTATGAAATAAACTGAGCTCATTTTATTCTTCGAAAGTCTTTGTTCTTGCCTTTTAAATTATTTTTTTGTGGACACCTCAGTTAACACTTAGATTTTGTTGAAAGAGAGACAGTCATTGACGACTTCTAAGTTATCAGAAAAGGCTTATATTGTTGTTAGTGTCACACATTTGTTAAAACTGTATATCAGTAAACTGGTACTAATAATCTGTCATAATATCGAAATTTTGACGAATTAAGAGATGGTTATGATGTTGTTTGCGTACCTTTTTATTTACTACTTTCGCCTCCTGTGGAATTTATATTACTGACGGTAATTTCCACAATGTGATTCTAAGCCTAAGCAAATAGTTTTTGTAATGATTAACACCTCATGTATTGTGTGATATTCAGCAGTCATGAAAGATGTCGACTAAGGATATCTGCCGGGAGTTTATAATTTGGTAACTATTCAACGTATAAACATAAGATTTAACAAGGTGAACATTCAGTTTCATAGTACTTAAATTTTTAAGTATCTACGACGAATGTCTTCAACTCTTAAATAATATCTTATTTTCTAAATGCGCTCTAGTATAAATTGGTTAGTCATAAAAAATACTACGGTTCAAGATGTATAGTATTAACAGAGATAAACTAGTTTTGTCAGAGATATTTACATTAACCATCTTAAGACTATTAATCTTTTTAGCCTCTTGAAATTGGTATAAATGGCAGATTGGGACCAAAAAGCTGGAAATCCTGTACACCGCACAACTTTGATGTGAATGCCAGTAGAAGTATATGTTCACATTTTCCCAAACCAGAAAAAAAAACATTTTCAGCGAAACTTTTTAGTATGAACTACATGTTCCCTTACACAGTAAAACAGAGAACATGTTTTCTCACAAAAGCAGAAATTTTAACTTACATAGAAAAGCTGATGACACCTATAAAATCAAAAACGTGAAAACAAATGTTGATATGGTTCTTAATTGTAGTCGAAAACCCCTATTATAAAATGTAATTCTTGTTTTATTAGAGAAAATGTACATACCCCTAAATAACTACCTACTACACCCTTAAGGGGCAATTAAATGTTCATGTTCTCCTGATATTTCAAATCATATTCTCCTGCTACTATTAAGTACTACTACGGAGGTACCCCTTTGTAGTATTGAATATCCAAGGATAGTTAAAATACATCTGAGAATGTGACGTATTTAGAAAGGATGACAAATGTAACAGCAGGACATATGCGTTTGATTAGTATGCTGGTGAACCAATACACCAAGGCAACCTTTGACAAAAACATCAAGATTTACTCATCATTTACTACAGGTAATTTATAAATGTAATATCTGTAGTGGAGAAGGCATTCTTTTGATAACAGGAAGTCTTACTTCTGACCTTCAGTGCCGGTCTACTACCGGGTCTTTGTTGACTTCAACTTCCTCTAGCTGGTGACGTAGGACATCAAATCAAATAGCGCTTTCACCTCGAGTACTAAGACCGCGAAAGTTGTATTCTTCAAGCTCCTAGAATACCTCTGCTATATCTATCTGTCAGTGTTGTGACTTTGGTATGGACCGCAAACTAATTTTTACCACAATTCTCTTTACTTATTGAAATACGGTCTAAATTGGAGTAAACATTTAAACACCTATTGCTGACTATTTGGTTACTGTAAAGAGCTTTTAGAATTTGTAGTTTGTCAACAAACTGCTGAATATACTGAGTCAACAGGGCTTAGCGTTACGCCAGAAATCACATCATTCCAGCTCTACTTAAGCTTTTGTTTATTTACGAACTTCTGTTAAACTGAGTAGATTTTTTCACACATTCTATATAAGAAACAAAGAAAACCCCTCAACAAGTCCTGAATAAATCATTAGTGATCAAACACCATTCACTTCATTAAAATAAAACAAATGCTTCAGTAGTACTACAAAACTCATCTGCTTTTTATATATCATCCGTCTCACATTAAAGCTGATTACTCAACAAAATTGAAATTCTGATAGTCGATATATCAATACACCATCGAATATCAACTACAGAAGAGCGTTAGGTTGATGCTGGAAGATGAGTAAGGTGAAAATCACAAACGAGTCCCATCGCGAATGAAGCGTCATATGGTAATGCAGAAGAAATCTTCTGATGCCTAGTCTACTGTTTTAAAGTCTTAGTGCTCGATTTCATTGAATGAAAGAATTCATGAACACTCACAGTATTTTCATGTTTGTTGGCAGATTAACCCCATAGTCAATTCCTTATAGCTTCGTCTAGTTGGGATTGTCTTAGGCACACGATACCGCCGATTCAATCTTAACTCTGACCCTGAACGTGAACAGTCTCGAATGTACTTGCCTAGTCTCGTATTCTTAATTCGCCTACAGGATGAATCAGTTAATTCGGTTCCCCCAACAGCTTACTACAGAATATAGAGCCTAGTGTTGATTCTCCGTATCTTCCAGGTGATCTGATTCGTCTTTATTTACAACCTAAGTGACCTGATTACAACGCAGCATAATTTATAAAAATGAAACAACTGATTTTAAGAGCAAAAAATAAGATGATACACAGTTATGGATTTCACTCAACATACAACTATTTCCGAAATACAGGTCATACAAAAATGAATGATTGCTCAATCGAAAGCTCTCTAACCGAGCTATAACATTACCAATAAAGTCATAAGTAAAATAACTTTTAAAATAAATAAAATAATACCACCAATAATATTTATCTGAAGACATTCACATTTTCCACTTTTCGCAGATATAACAATGACAACTCTACAATATTGAGTACATCTAAATGACGCAACTTGTATGCCAAGCAGTAGTGTACAGTTATATTATCACTTCTGTTGTTGTCGTAGATCATGATTGACAATGACTGGGAAGCTGTTTGTGTGGTTTCATGTCTTAAAATCGACAGTAAAAATAGTCTGTCATTTTTAATAATAATAATAATGGCTTTATTCTGAAAGCTATTTCGAGAATACTCTACAGAATTTTCAGCACGTCATATAGCATCAGTTGGATAGAGACAGTGTATATGTGTATACATAGCAAAATGAAATAAGTAGAAATTGGATGAAGAAAAGATAAACATATTCACTCAATCTACAACTTTCTTCAAAGTGCGCAGTCAATTCAGGTAGATAATCACATTGGCGATTAGATTCATGATACGTAAAAAGTAACACGATCATCTTCAGATAGTTTGCTTTTAATGCTTTTGATTAGTCAGTTCATTTCTAATACTTTCTTCATCACACAGCAGACGAGCTAAACACAGTATCGTAGAGTTTTATATTTTGTAGCACGAGCACAGAGTCTTATATGCTTCCTTCTCGTCTTTCCTGATGACCAACATGTAGAGAGCTACGAGTGAAAAGGATGTTGGTCATCTGATAAAATAACTCCTGCCAGATATTTACATGAGTTAATATGTTTGTCCACAACTGTTTTAACTGGAAGCTTAAGAGATATACCACTAGTTCTTCAAAACTCGACGCAATATAGCACAGTTTTTATTCAGCAACCAAGGAAAAAACAAAGGGGAGCAATAGAGGAGGACAGCTAAGATGCAGGAGTTTATAAAACATAAGAGGAGAGACTGAGTAATATCAGATACTTTCAGCTTCCTAATATAGAAAGTTAGGCGGAAGATTCTTTTGAAAGTTAGTGAGATGTGAGAAGACCATGAAAGTTCGGAAGGAAAACACACCAAGATAAATCACATTTGTAACATTCTCTAATGCGCAACTATCAATAGAACAGGAATCACGAGAACTAAGCAGTTTACGTAAGTTATGTTCACCTCTAAAAGAATTAAACATAAGACCATCTTCGGAGGACCATAGTCTAACAGTAGATAGGAAATAATTCAGTTGGGAGAAATCTTCTGCAGAGGAAATAGATATGGAAACTGTTATGTCATCAGCATATTTAATGAAATTGATACCAGCTAAAGATGGTAGGTCATGCAGAAAGAATGAGAAAAGATAAGGGGAGGGATGACTCCTTGGGGAACTCTAGCCACAGTAGGAATTGAGGTGGAGCACTTCTCTCTGTGAACAGTGTGTTGTTTCCCATCAGAGAAATAGCAATGCAGCCAGCTGATTATCCAGGACTCAGTATTTGTCCCGGTTAGCTAGTCCGGCAAAAGATGTCTTCGAACATAGTCAAATGCCAAAGTCTAGTCTAAAAAGGCACATCTGACATACTTGGCATTCTTATCAAGACTATAAGTAATATCGTGATGACATCCAAAGTGCTTCTTCTGCTTTTATGTGCAAGTTGATTAAGGTCTCTGAAACCCTTCAGTAAGGGCTCGTATCCGGGATTTATTAGCTTCTCCATTATTTTTAAGAACGGAGAGGTAACTGCAATCGGATGTTATCTTATATATGCACCTGGAGTCCTGGACTTAGGTACGGAGACTATCTTAACATCTTTCCAGTCAGCTAGTATAGTGTTTTCTAAAAACGATCTATTGAACATGTTAGCTAGTGGATAGCATTAAATATTAGCACATATCGTGAATGCGAAGCCTGACATACCATCCAGATCTGAACTGTGAGAAGGGTTTAGGGATTTGAGACATTTGAGAACATCGTTCGTGGTGAGCTCTAGACAACGTTGTTTATTGGACATAGGTAGACAAAGTGGGATCGAACAAGTGGGTTGACGTAAAAAGGATTTGTTCAAGGCACAGATATCTACATATGCTCCTGTACTAAGGTGTTTACTACCAGTGAGGTCTTTAAAAAGTTTACATATGCTGGAAGAGCCTTTGAGTGACAAAAGTTTCTGGTTTTATAGTAGACTCAGACGTTTAACTTCCAACCTAATTAAAAAGTCCGATCGATGAACACCAGCATTATCACTTACCTTATATAGTCTTTCTTTTTCTTTTCTTAGTTTCTTAAGCTGTGGAGAAGATATGCAATCGAAGCGTAGAAAAAGCTTTGCACTGGGGCAATAATTACCGATATTGTTCGTTAATCCTGTCTTCGCAATGATATTTGCCATTAATAGCTTCTGACATGGATATAGATGGACATTAGCTCAGTTCGACTAGTGGGCAATACATCTTACATCGGAAACAAATCCAACTGTTAGACGCCAATAACAGGTGCAAAACAATGAAGAGAGTAGAAGGCAAACAAGATATAATTTGGAAAGTTGTATTTCCTTATGCTAGTCAATATCTTATATGAACACACGATACCGGTTTCAATAGACTATTTGACAATGGAGCATAAAATGTTTTCAGAAACATTTCGACGAATTTACGTGGAGTAGATAGATAATATGATTCCTCCATCAGAACACTGAAATATAAAATAATAAATTGAAATATTCGAAAAGAAAGCGAAGTACTGATGATAATAAGTGAATATTTTCAGTATTTTCATAAAATGAGAAGGTCAATTACTGTTAAACCTCGATTGTTGAATGATGGACACTGTATACTTAGCTACTGATGAAAAAAAATAAATAACGAGGGATATGCGAGATGAAAGATAACTGAGGACCTACAGGCTTCCGATCCAGATAATAGGTGATGAATAGTAAATAAATGAAGGTGATGAACAGATAACAGATAAACAAATGTAGTAGTAGTAGTAGTGTGAGTAGTAGTAGTAGCAGTAGTAGTGTGAGTAGTAGTAGTAGTAGTAGTAGTAGTAGTAGTAGTAGTAGTAGTAGTAGTAGTAGTAGTAGTGGTAGTAGTAGTAGTAGTAGTAGTAGTAGTAGTAGTAGTAGTAGTAGTAGTAGTGGTAGTAGTAGTAGTAGTAGTAGTAGTAGTAGTAGTAGTAGTAGTAGTAGTAGTAGTAGTAGTAGTAGTAGTAGTAGTAGTAGTAGTAGTAGTAGTAGTAGTAGTAGTAGTAGTAGTGGTAGTAGTAGTAGTAGGCTTAACTGTACCACAGGAAGAGGGAATTATTTAGGTCAGGTTGACTTATACACAGCAGTCTGTTCGGTCAGTAAACTGTCCAACTTGATCGAGTTCTTCATACAGGATTTTTCTAGACAGGCACTTTGGATCCTGTGTATTGAGTGGGTGTTATACCACTGCTGATATTTCGTTTATCATTTTCTGTAGTATCGTTGGTAAAATCAGGCTCCGCTAACAGTTTCCAATTTAGTCAGTCTGTTGATGATGACCACTTCATAAATTGTACTTGAGACTCTATAAGGACGACAATAAGCTGACTTTAGTGTTCTGTGAATACCATCCTATCTAACAGAACATGGGTGCAGTCAGTTGGCCGAAATGGGGTGTGTGACAACAGTTGTTGTAGTCGTGGAAGTGACTGTTTTAACTCGCTCAACTATTCCCCTAATAACTACTTTTATTTAAGTATGTCAAGTGCAAATGGACATCAGCTTACACTACGAACTCGGATACCAGTAGAAGATATCATGTTAGGCGTACAGCTATGCCTAACCTTCACAATCTTTAAGTTTCAGAATCTAATATACAAACAAATAAGAGGAGTTGACATGGAATCACCAATATCCCCTATCGTGGCTGACATATTCATGGATAGTTTGGAACGGATGGCCGTCGAAACATCAAGTCCAACTTCAAAAATATGGTTTCGATATGTTGGTGACACGTTTACAGTATTGAAAATGGAGCACATAAATAGTTTCTCCACACAGAAATTCAGTAGTCAACGCAATCCAATTTACCCGTGAATTAGAAAGTAGGGAAGGGGAATAAGCGATATTGGATGGTAGTTTAGACACTAGTTTCTGTAGAAAATCTTCACACTTAATTGTCGTTTAGACTTCTAATCGTTTCACCCCATGTCAGTTAAAGTCGGCTTGGTAAAATATCCAAGTACCAGGGGCAGAAAAACTACTAGTAAACCAATAGAGCTAAGATAAGAAACCAGATGAATTAAGGACACCTTACTTATCAGTAATTACCTGTCTGAATTAATTAATAAACGCCTTAGCAATCGTAGGAAAAATATGATTGTTAATAGTAATAATGTTACGAATAGTAGTGCCAACATTGCGAAGAAAGAGTTCAAAACCTCTACAGCGCTGCCATACAACGAAGGCACCTCCAGGACATTACATAGGATACTCAATAATTCTGGGATTACAGTAACTGGGATTTTAACCAACAAACTCACTTAAAAATAAGCTTTTTAGGTTAAAAAAACCTATTGATCCAATTAAGCAGAATAATTTAGTTTACCAAATCTCTTGCAACAACTGTTAGGTCGAATACATAGGCCAAAGTAGTCAACTAGGGTCAATTAGGCTATCCAAGTACAAAAACCTGGCCAGGTCAGAATTAGCTGACAGTAGTAAAACAAGGAACTTAGAAGAAAGCTCAGCCATAGCCATACATGCAAGTACACACAATCACACAATAGAATGGGACAGTGTGAAAATCCTTAAAACTAACACAACAGGATGGGGGAGACATTGACAGATTAATCTTTGTTTGTTGAATCAACATCAAACACGTGCAACAGGAATAACTGAGTACCTATTTTTGATATATGGATAATCTTAGTACTCATATCTCAAAGGAAGTGAGAAAATTAGAACCATATAAACCATGTCTCAAAGTTGTAAAGTTATCTTGATATGACTATGGACAATAAAATTGTGTCCTAAACGAAATCCAGCAAACAGTACTGTCACACTGTGTGATACGTTTAATAAACCAACTACAATGGAATTACATTCTACCTCTATTCTCAAAGTTTACTGTTACCTTAATAGGGTGAAAGGATTTGCACTGGTTAAGAAAACAGGTTGAGTAGAATTCAAACAATAAGATCAAGAATCTGAGATAATACAAACAATACAGTTGTGTGAACTGACGATGTTACGCAGAAAAACATCATGATTATTGAAAACAACAAGCAGTTATGGATTTAGACTTCACGTTCTTTGTCAATAAGGTGATGAGCAACTGGACTGTTGAAGACTTTTCCATTTTTCAGCCACAAATTCCTTGGAATATGCTTCGATATGAGGTCACAATCTATTTTCTCTGCTAGTCGAATGTTTTTACTTGTGAAATAGTAGATGCTAAGAATAAACTAATAATGTCCAATTTAAATTCAGTAACATTGTCTACTTCGGAAATGACTGGCTGTCCGTTGGTTCCCACACCAGTAGATACTTTCTATCTGGAACCTTCAAAGAGCGACTATGAAGTATGTAATCGATAAGTCAATATTCTACTGTAGGTACATTGATAGTATATTCACTATTTGCTATCACCTACAATAGGCCTATTATTTCCATAGTCTCCTATACAAAAGACAGGAAAGGATAGAGTTTACAGTTAAATCTGAGCAGAATAAGAATTTCCACCTCTTTGATCTTGAAATTCATCTAAGTACTTATGACAATCTATTTAGATTTACCTACCCTAGAGATGAATCGAGTCGATTGCTTCTTAATTTCAATGGACTATGTATTCTAAGTTAGACAGAATGGCTAGTGTTAACATTTTTCAACCGTATAAGATATATTTTTCATGAGAGAGATTCGAGTAGGAAATGACAATCACGGAAATGGTTGTTTGTGAAGATGGATATCCACTAACTTCATCGATAAGTACAATAAGGCACCAAATGAAACGGAGTAGTGTTATTCGGTTAGAAAAAAGCCTATCTTCCTAAATCATCACTACAAAGTTGATGATGTTTCTGAAAGAATTAATTAACGAATAAACGTTGCATTAAAAGGGATCAACACAGCTATCAGGCTTATAGAAACTTGACTAAATGAAATATTCACTGAAACAATCAAAGGTTGACAAGTCCCATTTTCAAATTACCTCAGATTGCATCAACCAGTATATGTCATAGCACGTATATTCGATGCACAGAGAAAAGCGTTGTTGACCAAATGTCTGAGTATATTGCAAAGAATTTGCAACTGAGAAGTGAGCAAGCTGTTAACAGTATACTCGTCTGTGCTATTCTGTCTAAACTTTTGTTCACAGATTATCGAGATGTTCGCTTATTTCTTATAATCCTAATTTCCTTATCCTAGTCAGCTAGGTTGATCTTTGGAAGCGGAACCTCTGCTTCGTCTCCTGTGACATTATTAATCAAACCTAAACATTTTAGCTTTTCCACTGGAGCTCAGATTCTGTAGTATTAGTCAGAAAGTTGGATAGTTACTAAAATCTTTTTAGGTAAACGCTTTTCCTACAACCTATAAACTCTTTCCGCATATTTGCCTACATTGGCATGGTTATCTCCAAAAGCAGGAACCTTCCCAGGTGTATTCATATAGGACGGATATTTGTATTTCCCATAACTTCAGGCTAGGTAGGCCCTGTATATAGCTCTTCAATGACGATGGGTCTTGTAGCCTAACTTCACTATGTTTAGTTGTTAGTCTGACACAGAAGTACAGCTTATAACTTCCTACTTCACTTAGTCATACAGGGAATCAGAAATTGGATTTGCAATATGTTAGCAAACCTGGTCTACTAATTTATTAAATGGAAGAATACTGATCAAACCAAATTTGACCTTCTGGGAAGTGACTCTATTTTCAGTGAAATAATTTTCTAGTCTAGTGAGCCATAGATAAGAATCTCGAGATTTAGAAATGTGAATGCTAACAGAAAAAGCACTGACTAATCCCGGCTCTGAAATCTTATCTATAATAAGAATAATGAAGGATTATATGAGATGGAGATGGAAATCAAATGCTTACCAAATTAACAGCACTTGTAACTGAAATCCTACACTTTATGGCTAATAAATTCAATGCGTATATGATATCCGTAAGTTCAATTTAAAAGTCCGTAGCAACTTCACAGAGTATATCGAGCTCACTACTTTGTTGTGCTGTATTTGACTCCAAGCTTTATACTAAGGTTCCCGGAAATACTATCATCACTTTTTTTAATATCTTATACACTGCTAATCCATCCAACACTAGACAGTGAGAAAACAAAAGATAATGCAAAGTATAAATAGGAGGTTATATTAAATGATCAGACCTAGTTTGGTATTCACAGTTCTAATATAGGTGTATACTCATGTATAACGTTAATCATTAAACGAACTTGCGACTAAGCTCATATCCAGATCTATATTTTAAGGTTTACCTGTACAGGGAACTTCATGGGAATTCAGTTTGTAAAAAATTCCAGGTGGCAGTATAATAACACCTGTCAAAATTGTCTTAAATATCAAGGAGAGATAAACGACAGTCTTTCACTGTTTACTGGAATTTCTTAAGAGTTCATTAACATTAGGAAATCGGTCCAAATATGAAACTTCGCAGCACATTTTTTCTATCTATTATATAGTGAAATTATTCAATGAAACAAAATCAGCTATCATACTTTTGGACGTAGAGGCGTGCTGAGGAGTGTTAACTATTTCTTTACAAAACATTCAATGCTCAAGTCGTGATTAAGATTTGAATAAATCCAACCCCATTATATCTTTCAGTAGTAATAGTAAGATTACAACAAACGACTAGTTAAATTTCATTTCAGCAGGACAAAAATAAGACACTCATAAAGAAATCCCAACAAGCTCTCTTTTTCAACCTTTTTTTTACAGAGTAAGCCATTCCTAATATAGGTGTGAAACTTGGGCACTATGGTAGAATTCAATTCCACATTAGATTTGTTTAAATCAAATAAACAAAGCTAAAAAGGAAGCAAGTCATCTCTAGCTGAAAAAATTGAGACCATGAAACGATTATTAAAGTAATTAAACCTCCAGATTTCGCGGGGATTTTATTGGTTTCAAGTTGCCATTCATCACAGACTGACATCACTTGGAGAACCATTGAAACCTTAGGGCGCTGGTCACCTGTTTCGTCCTACCATGGGGCTCCTCAACAGCGCACATTCATGACCTCGTCAGGGACAGAACTCAGGATCTCCGGGTTTCACGGGATACCTTTTTGGAAATAAAATCCACAGTAATCTCCAAATATATTCATCTTCACTCAAGGAACAGAATTACAAGCACAATACTTTTGCAACAATTGCACTGCCCAAACATTGCCACCTGAGAGGTGTATATATATGTCCCTACACTGTTTGTCATTGCTGTAATGCAAATCATTTATTTCCAACCGACAGAATGAAAGTGAATTTATCTTGAACAAACAAATAAGTTTGGTAATGCAGTATATCCGTTCACCAACAAAAGAACTTACTCGACTGTAACCCTCTGTGTCCTCGGTCACAATAGTTTGACTATTTAAATCATGTTTTTTCGGACATTCGTCAGTTATAATAACTTCAACACTAGAAACGTTAAATGTAATTAGTAGTAATATAGTTTGAGGTTGGTGGGCATCTTATTTTTACGTAGTATTCATAGTGGACTGCTGAGTACACACATACTCGGACGAAACAGCAATCCACTGCTCCGAGGTTTTCAGTCATTCTTCAATTGATGTCAATCGGTGACGTAATTAATTGTGTTTGCGGTGCTCACACTACTTCTACTACTACTAATAATAATGATAATAATATCATACTGCTAATATCCATTTGATAACTGTAGAGGCTTCAAAAGCTAATAATCAAGTTAACACATGACAATATCTGGTAAATACCAACCAGACTGCAAGATTGGTCATAGGCTTCAAAGTAAAGATATCCCTTACTGACTTTCAGTAATATCGCACTCAGCATAAGTCAGTCAAGCGTATCCGCTACTCACCAAAGAATATTTGTAACAACCCATCAATGAAGAATGATAATGTCTAATGACATGAAACTTGAAATATTAGTGACTATTTCCGTTTTCGCCATTCTTCAAACGATATCAGTTGAGACCAATTATTTTGACAAAACAACAGGAAGACGTAAATTGTATTTGCGCTACATATTTCGAACGATTTAATCACTTATCTGCCTACGATAAGCATTTATATAAAAAATCTAGTTAGAGGTAAGAGGTGAAACTATGAAAAGAGGTCAAGTAGGAAGGTTGAATTAAAGGCCAAATAACAATGAAAGTCATGGTCCATCGAAGTTAATTTCACAGCTGAGTTCACCGAGGGAGATTCAGTATGATAATAAATTGTTTGCAAACACATAAAGGCAACAATTTGCTCAGTCATGACTAGCAGTCGAATTTAAGACGCGCGTTTCGTCATATTTGAGACTAGTCAGGTGGATGTACACCTGCACCCCAGTCAGTAGTGTTGTCCCCTCCGAGATTCGGACCATGTACCCATCGCCTCAAACGTCAAGGCGTTATCCACTATGCCACGAAAGAACGATAGCTACTTCTTGTACAACGGGTATTGTTTATTACTATTTATTGATATACTTGTTATTCTCCATTGATTTATTGGATCGAATTGTTCGACCTCTATTGTCACATTGGCTCCTACGCGGATGCCTCGATATTGGCTGAATGTCAGTTATGATAATTTGCTTGGTTGTATCTAGCAGAAGAATCTAGGTCTCTAGTTTCGTCCTATTTGGGACTTGATCAAGCAAATTGTCATAATAAACACCCAGGAAATATCGAGGCATCAGCAAAGGAGCCTATATTCCAATAGGGGTCGAACAATTCGATCCAATAAAATAACGGAGAATAACAAGCATGTCAATAAATAGTAATAACATAAACTTGACTTTAAACTTCCTAATAGCTAAGTCCTCGATAAATTTAAGGATACGTCCTTAACTTATATTTTGAATACGTTTAAAAGACGTAATAGCGTCAATCCTGTGACCTGTCTCCATGATATGTCTGCTACCAAAGTTAATGGGTTCTCAGGTGATTCAATTTACTTCTGAAGTTACTTTGTAATATACTCTGATGCCTTTACTTGATTGGACCTACGAGTCCTCTCTATGAATGTATCACCAAATGTACATTTGAATTGGTAATAACTGTTTTAAATTTCAAAAGAGAAGATTCTCTCTTCTCCCATAAATTATTTCTTTCTGAAAAATCAATGTTAAACATCTCCTTCTTTATTTATGTAAAAAGTTAAACAAATACAAATCAAACTATATCACCTAAAAGCAAGGTCATTCAATGAACTGATGCATAAAGTGTTTTCATCAATTTCAACCTCATTTCATAATCACACAAAGTAATAAATTCATATTATGAAATATGCATATATTTCAAATTTGTAATAAGGATGAGATATTGGGTGAAACAATCACTACACTTCATCTAATTCATTCTACACTGAGGTGATTAGTATAAAATTTCATTCTTACCTATCAGTCATAGTAACACATTCTTGTTACTATTATTGTTTCTTTCAAGAGTAAAATAAAATTGGATCGAAAATACTGTAACTTGGATACACAAGCATTAAGCGTTTTATGTCTTTAAACATTATTATTATTATTATTATTACTGTCGTAATTCAATGGATTTCCTGTAGTGTTCTAAAACACCACTTGAGATCGTACATCTATCAGTCTCTGTCATCGATAACAAAACTGATAGCCATTGGTACTAGAGTACACATGTGTTTAGACTTACAGCACAACTGTTTGTGCTGACACAACAGGCTTAAATAAATCATTGGTAATAAAGAAAGTGAAGATCCACTTCAAATACACTTAATCATATGTAAGACAATTTTTGTCTTAAAATGGAATAATATTTTGTTACTTTGACTACTATTACTCCTCTACTAAGCATAACCAGTAACAGTGAACTATGGAATTATGACACATAAAGACACTTATGTACATAAACAAACAATAAACATAAACATGAAAACAAATAGGGTACAGAGTCTTGAAAACTATAACTTGTTGAAATGATTCTCCTTGTTTGCATGGAATGTCACTAGTGGCAACCCACTGATAGACCGCACTATACACTGCAGTTAGCCTATATATAAATTTATGTAACATTATCATCGTCATCATTCATAGTCTAGGGAAGGAGAGAATAGGTTATTTGGTGATGGTTAACAAAAGAATCCCATATTCGCGTTTCGTCTAATTCATGACTCGTCATCCGAATGCATTTGCATCTCAGTGATTGGAAGTTGCTCCACTTCAAATGCAAAATCATTAATCACTAGGCTACTGAGTCTCTTATGCAATAGATAACAGTTGCCATTTATTATTGTTTATAATTTTTCACTGATTATTATCCTGAAATGAATAGTATTTCGAACTGTTGAATCTGAAATAAAATGAGAACAATTATAAGATGTTCATATACCGTTATGAGGCATAGTATTCAGTAATTAGATGATTAAACATCTTGCAAATGCTGGTGAATGATAGGAATTTGAAAGCGAATTACCTGAATGTAAGATAATTATATTCATTTATTGCAGAATGGATAATCTCTAGCATTGGAATCCAAGATGAGCAGACCATCCTATTTGGGACTCGTCAGCTGGAGGTACCTGCTTCGCAGTGACTGATACTTTCCCCACTTAGACTTGAACTTAGGATTGATCGCTTCAAACGCCATGGCTTTATCTACTAGGTCAGTGAGTTGCTACAAACCCCATCCTGAATTGGGCGAAACCCATATCCTGTATTCCACTGTTAGCCACTAACTATCATTGCTATCAAACTGAAACTGCAGACAGTGTTGAGCCATCTACAATGGAGCCTGTATATCAACAGAGAGTGACCAGTTCGGTCCAATTAACTCTGGTGAATTAGAAACATTAACATATGATATCTTTCTTTATAAATACTGATGTAATCAAGTTTGTGGACTGTTTAAGCATACAGTTAAACTAACTACACCTTTCCAATGTGTTTATGCTGTATTCGGAATGAATTGCGCCTTCTGAAACATACATTTTTGACACCCTAATTCAACTAGTTGGTTTCTTTTGCTTCAAGGAAAAAAATTAACATTTTTACTCGACATACGTATGTATCAAAATAGGGCTTTTGTTTATCTTTTTCTAGCAAATCAAATGAAGGGATCGCTTCTATGAAAAGTACACTTTAGTGTGCCTGTTGGTAGGCAGCATTCGGAAACATGTAACAGGAGAGAAAGAGAAATATTACTAAAGCATCAGCTTGGGAAGCTTCTCAGCTGTTCCTATCGACGTAGTATATGGGAAGCAATCTTTGTCCACCGACTAACAATGAGGAGGAACCAAATATTTTTAGGCAGAATACAAAGGAAACTATAAGATCAAGTAATACGAAATACAGACGACAGTTAGAATTAGTCTGACACGTCATGATCTGGTTTTAGAGTCATTTTGATATACTGAATATTTTCGCTCTAATGGTTGTGTGACTATACCTATGATGCGAGACAATTTAAATTATTTTCACTTATTACTTTATACTACTCATAATGAATTTAGTAGCATCCCATTTTTATCATGAAAGTCTATTTCATGATAAAGACAGAAAAGAATGCTACTTAGATAAATCACTAACTATAGTTAACTTTTTAGTTGG